CTCCTGGCCAGGAGTAAAGTGTGGTTCACTAATGTTTGTGTCTAAGTATTTGATAAGGTAGGCCCCTTGAGTTAGGTCCACAAGCAATGAGGTTTGATGATGTTGAAGAATCCCATCAGCCTAAATAATAATATTTTAATAATTTAAACAAGTTATTCAACACAGTGTTAACTTTGGAAACATCAAACACGAGGATAATGCAGTAAAGTATGACATATGACTCACTCTCCAATAAGGATGACTTTGTGTTTTGGATGTTGAAGAAGATATTTCAACCCTAAATTGGCACTTGTTTATACTTACCTAAGCCTGACTCAAAAAATGGGCAAAGCAAAATAATAATTCTTTATAATTAAATCTGCTACATCAGAAACAGTTTAAAAGTAAGTTGACATAAGGTACAACTCACTCAGTAGAGAAAATTTTATGTTCAATATTAATAACAGAGTTTACCATTTTTCTCATTTATAACATAACATTTAAAGAATAGCAAGAGATCTTTTGATCCATCTAAGCTGTCCTACCCATTAAATTAAACTAAACCATTAAAAACAAACAAAAAACTCCAAGCCAGTCCTTATCATTCAATATTTATCAAGCTTTCCTTTAAACTCTCTTGAGTTAAGTGAATCCACCACATCTGAAGGCAACCCATTCCAGGGGCCAACCACCCTGCTAGAAAAATAAGGTTGTCTTAGTTGAAGATGACTTTTTCCCTGCCAAAAGTTATATTTGTGTCCCCTAGTCTTACCATTCTCACCATTAAATATTAAAAAAGATGATGCATCAACATTATCAGTTCCAACAATCTTAAACATCTCAATCAGATCCCCTCTAACTCTTCTTCTTTCAAGAGAAAACAAGTTCAGTAAGTGTAACCTGTCCATCTCGAGTATCGTCCTGGTAGCCCTCCTCTGAACCACTTCCAACAATTCAATGTCCTTGAGGTAATGAACCCAAGACTGAACACAGTACTCCAAATTTGGTCTAACCACACCATTAATGAATGAGCATAGAAAAAAACACAAACTGACCTCTACATGAAGTCTACGAGTGATTAAGTCCTTAAAATCTTGTGTCTTGGCCATAACTGTAACATTTATTTCTCCGATTCGAACTGGCACTATTGGTAGGTACACTACTTCAGATTTTCCTGGAGCAATCTGAAAACAAGTGCAGTAAAAACAATGACATTTTCATGTATTTTTTGGAAGAATACAACTTAAGTTACTGATGGTGGAACAATCTTATTTGATCTCAAGTAACATTGGTTTCAGGTTTTAATCTCCAAAACAAACAGAATTCTGATAGCATGTTTTCTTAGTGGATTTGAGAAACATGGTTTCAGCTCAAACTTTACATTTATAGTCTTGTTTTAACCTTCTTTAAAATATTGCTTTGAAAGATTTGTTTTTTTTGTTTTTAATTATGCAGAAAGCTACACAAGGGCTATCTGTGCTCTGCCCACCACGGGTATCGAAACCCGGTTTCTAGCGTTGTAAGTCTGCAGACATACCGCTGTGCCACTGGGGGGCACTTTGAAAGATAAAATGTGAAGTTTATAACTTTGCTAATGTTTGCCCATATGATCCACCTATTGTTCTATTTCTTTCATACCTATGATTCAAACCTTCATGGAAGATATTGTGTACTTTTGGTAAAGCTGAAACTTTATGCTAAATTTGTTAAAGTAATTATTAGAAAAATAAAATAAAAAAAATTGTACTGATTATACTTTTAAAAGGTATGATTTTGTAAACAATACCACATTCATTTCTAAGGCACAAAAACTTTATTTACTTATAAGTATGAATATGGTTCACTGAAAAGGCTAACTTACAATACAAGTTAATTATCTCACGTAATGAGTAAATATAGGAAATATCAATAAAGCTATTTCTCCATCATATCTAAAACTATACTAATAATTACACTAGCCACTAATTAATTCAAAGTTGTTTGTTATTATTTAGTTTTCAAAATACACCCATAATGCTTCAGAAATAAAGGAATATTCATAGATAAAAATAAGAAACAGAAAATCATATGATGAAACAAAACACAGAATAATTCTTATGTTTCGAATTGCTCAATAAATTACATACACCTGATAAATTTTATTCATTTAAAACTATGTATTTCTGGGAATTAAAACTATGTATTTCTGGGAATTAAAACTAATATTTCTGGGAATTAAAACTATGTATTTCTGGGAATTAAAACTATGTATTTCTAGGTTTGTTATTGTACATTCAGTTCTACTCTCAATATAAATCAACCATCTCATGAAAATATACTGTTAAATTTCGTAATAAAACAAACACAGTTAAAGTTTCAAGCACCGGTACCATATACTTTTTATATTATGAAATAATTATTATTATTAAATAACAAGCACAGCTGCTACAATGTTAATTTTGAAATTTCGTTGTTGTTTTTTTTCATGCAAAAATGTGACAGGTGTATGAAAACTGCAAGCTTTTTTTTTTTCATAATCTTAAAACAAATTGTACTCCTTACATTTTTGCAACATATTTTTACGTAAATGTTTGTTGTGGTGTATATGAAAAATGAAAACAAATTGTACTGCTTACATTTATGTAAATGTTTGTCATGGTGTATATGATATTATATTTCAGTATACCCTATACACAATCCACTTTTCTTGTTTTGCCTTATTGTCTATACCTATATTTTAAGTCTCTAAACCAAATTCTTGGCAGCTCTATAGAAGCTATACTTAAAACGTTCACTAAAACAGATCACTGCACTGTACAAGGGAATTATACTAATGAATTTTCAGTGATCTCTGTTATCGTTTTATTTGCTAATGATTGGACATGAACAAAAGACTTTTTGTTTCCATGAAAACTTAGAATTTATCTGTTAGAAGTAAAAAAAAACTTTTAAGCAGAAGTGATTTATAACTTCAAAGACTAAGTTTAGAGCTAGCTACAAATTATGTCAAAAAAAAAACCTTTTAAACTAAGATGCGAGACAAGTACTAACCTTTACTAGATGTTCCTGGTCAACCTGTGAGCTATAAGTTTCCAGGGTAACAAAGCTGTAGTCTCGTGACCTGGCTACACTTAAAGACACCTAGAGACAAACAATGTACGTTATGCATCCTGTTAATACAACTGAACAGTATAAATCTATAGAGCACTGGCAAGTTTTGAAATTAGGTAAAGCTCAAACTGTGCTGGTTCATTATAGATTTATTAAAATTGCTAAAATTAATTATGGTTTGACTACTTTATTCCTTTCTAACTAACCTGCAAATGTCGCTACTTTATTCCTTTCTAACTGAACCTGCAAATGTCACTACTTTATTCCTTTCTAACTGAACCTGCAAATGTAGCTACTTTATTCCTTTCTAACTGAACCTGCAAATGTCACTACTTTATTCCTTTCTAACTGAACCTGCAAATGTCGCTACTTTATTCCTTTCTAAGTGAACCTGCAAATGTAGCTACTTTATTCCTTTCTAACTGAATCTGCAAATGTGGCTACTTTATTCCTTTCTAACTGAACCTGCAAATGTCGCTACTTTATTCCTTTCTAACTGAACCTGCAAATGTAGCTACTTTATTCCTTTCTAACTGAACCTGCAAATGTCACTACTTTATTCCTTTCTAACTGAACCTGCAAATGTAGCTACTTTATTCCTTTCTAACTGAACCTGCAAATGTAGCT